GCTAAAAAGTCACCCTCTGAGGAATGAGCTGGTACAGCAGCTCCCAGGGGCCTTGTGCCTGAGGTAGACACAAGGTCTCTGAAGGAACAGCTCAGCTGCCCTATCTGCTCACTGTGATGCTTTATTCCCCAGCAGGGCAGGCAAAAGCCATGAAAACCTCGCTGCAAGAGCCAGAGGAAAAGAAATAGCCCCACCTTAGTACGCAGAGAGCTCTGAGAGGCCACGTATCTTTAGTCAGATCCATTATAGCGGGAAACAAAACTGTAACTCAGGTTGATACTTAGAGTGATCCCAGACTGCCCGACACTGGTGTCAGTGTCCTGCTTGTGGCAGTTCCGATCAGTTCCAGCCAGGAGAAGAGTTATTAGCTTAATAAATTCCTTCAGCCAGAAGCCAAATATTCTCAAAAACACAGTTTTTTGGAAGTAATCATCATAATTTTCTGCTGGTTTTCTTATTTTTCAGTGTATTGCCCTAAGCATTCTTTGTACTATCTAGAAGTAATGGCTCCACATTAAAGACTCTCTAAAGGCAAACAAGGGTTTTCAAGGTTGCCTTACACCCTCTGCAACAAGTGCCACAAATCAAGTGCATCTGAAACCTCCCTTGCTGCTGTTACAGACACTCTTTCCAAGTAGGCCAGAAACTTGCTTTTCACCAAAATAAAAGCTTCACAGTCATTAGGTGCCATGATTTTAGGCCATGCTGTACAGTAAGCCCTTCACAGAAGCACTCCTCCACCCAGGACATGCTGTGCTTGCACCTCTCAAGGCACAGTTGCAACCCTGCCAGGATTATCCTACTCGGATAATTCATCACATCCTACTGCCAATGGTTTTTGCTCTTTGGGAACCTGGTTTATTAAAATTTCTTCATAACAGAGGTATGTAGTAAACATAAAAGGCAATGGCACATCTGACCACTACTAAACTACTGACAACACCAAGTTGGGAGGCAGAGTTGATCTGTGTGAGGGTAGGAAGCCTCTACAGAGGGATCTGGACAGGCTGGATCGATGGGCTGAGGCCGATCGTACGAAGTTCAACAAGGCCGAGTGCTGGGTGACCGGGCCCAGAGGGTTGTGGTGAATGGAGTTAAATCCAGTTGGCAGCCAGTCACAAGTGGTGTTCCCCAGGGCTCAGTATTGGGGCCGGTTCTGTTTAATATCTTTATCAATGATCTGGATGAGGGGAATCAAGTGCACCCTCAGCAAGTTTGCGGATGACACCAAGTTGGGCAGGAGTGTCGATTTGCTCAAGGGTAGGAAGGATCTGGACAGGCTGGATCAATGGGCCAAGGCCAATCATATGAGGTTCAACAAGGCCAAGTGTCAGGTCCTGCACTTGGGTCACAACAACCCCATGCAGCTCTGCAGGCTTGGGGAAGAGTGGCTGGAAAGCTGCCCGGCAGAGAAAGACCTGGGGGTGCTGGTCGACAGCCAGCTGAATATGAGCCAGCAGTGTGCCCAGGTGGCCAAGAAGGCCAACGGCATCCTGGCCTGTATCAGCAATAGTGTGGCCAGCAGGAGCAGGGAGGTGGTTCTTCCCCTGTACTGGGCACTGGTGAGGCCGCACCTCGAGTCCTGTGTTCAGTTTTGGGCCCCTCACTACAGGAAAGACATTGAGGTGCTGGAGTGTGTCCAGCAAAGGGCAACCAAGCTGGTGAAGGGTCTAGAGAACAAGTCTTATGAGGAGCAGCTGAGGGAACTGGGGCTGTTTAGTCTGGAGAAAAGGAGGCTGAGGGGAGACCTTATCACTCCCTACAACTACCTGAAAGGAGGTTGTAGCAAGGTGGGGGTCGGTCTCTTCTCCCAAGTAACGAATGACAGGACAAGAGGAAACAGCGTCAAGTTGCACCTTGGGGAGGTTTAGATTGGATATTAGGAAAAATTTCTTCACTGAAAGGGTTGTCAGGCATTAGAACAGGCTGCTCAGGGAAGTGGTGGAGTCACCATCCCTAGAGGTGTTCAGAAAAATGCATAGATGTAGCACTTTAGGACATGGTTTAGTGGGCATAGTGGTGTTGGGTTGATGGTTGGACTCTGTGATCTTAAAGGTCTTTTCCAACCTAAACAATTCTATGATTCTAAACCATAATATTTCCCTGAAATTTTTAAGTTCAACTTCTTTCAGGCACGAAATGGATTCAGGGACTGACTAGCCCCTTCCCCCCCCCCACAAATTCCCTTTTCAGTGCAGTTAATTTCAGCATCTTTCCCAACACACACAGACTTTCAGAAATACTCTCTTTGCCATAGGATCTTTCCATTTCTTCAGAGTACACCTGAGTTTTCCACTTACCAAATGTAGCTTCCTGGGATGTCACATATTTATAATCAGTTGCACCCAGTCAGTGTCTTTCAGGACATACAGGGCTGTTCCTTCACTACATTATTGTGCCACCACAAACCTGCATAGGCACATTCCCCCATTCCAGTGCTCAATACCTTAGTCAGCTGTCCACCAAGCATTTGCACACCAACTACACCTTTTCCTCCTAGAGGAAATGCAGTGTTTTTTAAAAGCTGTTGCTGCATGGTTTAGAAGTCTCCTGTCCTCTGGGGGTGTGTGAATCTGTTCCTTCTAACTACAAAGGCTACTGTTATAAGTGAAAAAATACTCTTTAAAAAAATCTTTTATCTGAAGCTTTTTCAGGGGTAATACTGGAGACAAAAGGAAAAGTTCAAAGAAAACAGAGTTCTCTTATATCCATCGCAGCTGTAGATTTCCTCTGATTCTCACTGCTGCCATCATGCTCTTTTATCATTATTGTATTACATGGTCTGTCATCAGCTGCCACTCTTGGATTAGGCTCAGCTGTGAGCTATTTGAGACACTAGCCTTGATATAACCTGTGTGTAACCAGAGATTTCACATAACACAACTGTACAATGTACTATGCAACTCCCCATTTCTCTTTGGAAAACAATATTGCAGACATTTCAAGTCCTAAAACAAAATTCCCAAGTTTCTTACTGTTGGCTAAATGTTCCACATTAAAGTCTTCTTCAGTGACCACTACTGGCTTTTCTAGACTTTCCTCCTAATCACACAACAAGTGATTAAGGAACATAATTTTGATATGTCTTACCTGATTAGCACTAGATTTATTCTTCCTTGTACTCATTTCAATATCAGACTACTCAGTACAGTTCTTTATTACCACAGATCTTTACCCATTAACCTTGCTAGAAAGCACCACAAAACCAACCCTTCAGAATATAAATCATCTGCCTTGTGTATTAACATATTCCTCATGAAAAAAATTCCACTCTGTTTTTAAACTGGTTTGAAATAAATGTGATGTCTACAATTTCAAAGTAAATAGAAAAATCTAATTAAGCTCCCTTTCAGTATGAGTGAGTTTAGTTCATATCATAATAGTGTTTGGAGCTGTTCATCTCTGTATTGAATCCACTTCAGAATGGATCATCTAAAGGCTTCCTGGACACATACATGGATGCTTGTTTTTAACAGCCAGTGTTATAAGGCACAACAACAGAGCTAGCATCATTTTCAACAGACACCAACACCAGAAGCAAAATGACTATGCAGATTGCCATCATTCTACCTGAACCACAGAAATTATATATAGAGGTCAAAGCAAAAAGTCTGGAACTCTAGGAACTGTTTTCGCTAGTAAAGCCTACCACATGCCCAGCATACCCCTCCAGTGAATGTCTCTGCCACTAAACTTTTGAGCTAAAGTCTTCATAAAGTGCAAAAGGGGAGGTGAGGAGACAAGTCATGCGCCCAGAAATTTCACTGAGAATTTAAACAGACAAAAACACTTGCAAAATAAGGTTTCAAGATTTTTCCAGTTCTTTCTAAAGAATGTATGCATGGAAATTTCCATTGCTTATAATAGACACCTCTTAATACCATATGTCATCTCAAAGTCCCCAGAGCAGGTTACGTTCTTGTTCGTTTGCTTGCGTTTCTCACTTCCCAGCTTGCTGTGATATGAAGGAAAAAAAATATATGGATTATTGCTGTTCATTAAATGTTTCTGCTTTATCCCGTTTCTTTTAAAAGTAGTTGTTAGTTCACACATTAACACTAACTGCAGCAGCAGAGGTATCAGATGTGGAAAGCCAATTCTCTGCAATAACGAAGTCCCAAAGCATTTAGAGCTTTATAGGGTAATAAGGCAGAAAGCAGCTAATGCAGCATGCAATGTGCTAGCAGAATGCGTGAAGCAGTACAGCTTAGATAAACCCATTGGAACCTAATTCACCTTTTGGGTGATCTTAGTAAACAGTTCTATCTACTACATAAATGTGTATTGGTGAAGGGTGATTATGTAAGTTGGAAGGGCCAAATTCTCCTCAGTAAACATTGTAGCTGCACAAACATTCAGGATTTAAACCACTTAAAAAACACAAACTTCTAATAAACTATACATTGATAAAAATCACAGAATTGTTGAGGTTGGAAGGCACCTCTGGAGGTAATCTGGTCCAGCCCTTCTGCTCAGGCAGGGCCACCAAAAGCATGTTGTGCAGGACCATGCCCAGACAGCTTTTGAATATCTCCAAGGATGGAGACTCCATGACCTCTCTTGGGAATCTGTGCCAATGCTTGGTCACCCTCACAGTAAAAAATTGTTTCCGGATGTTCAGGCAGAACCTCCTGTGTTTCAGTTTGTGCCTGTTGACTCTTGTCCTGTCCCTGGGCACCACTGGAAATAGCCTGGCTCTGTCCTCTTTGCACCCTCCCTTCACGTATTTATATACATTGGTGAGAGCCCCACTGAGCCTTCTCTTCTCTGAACAGTCCCAGCTCTCACAGCCTTTCTTCATAGGAGAGATGCTCCTATCCCTTCATCATCTTTGTGGCCCTTTAGCTGAACTCTCTCCAGTATGTCCAGGTCTCTCTTGTACTGAGGAGCCCAGGACTGGACACAGTAATCCAGGTATGGTCTCACCAATGCTGAGTAGAGGGGCAGGATCACCTCCCTTGACCTGCTGGCAGTACTTTGTCTAACGCAGACCAGCGTACCATTAGCCTTCTTTGTGGCAAGGGCATGTTGCTGACTCATGTTCAGCTTGGTGTCCACCAGAAACCCCAGTCCCTTTTCTGCCAAGCTGCTTTCTGGCTGGGTGGTCCCCAGCATATACTGGTGCTTGGGGTTGTTCCTTCCCAGGTGCAGGACTTTGCATTTCTCCTGGTTGAAGTTCATGAGGTTCTCCAGCATATCAGGGTCCCTCTGGATGGCAGCATGACCCTCTGACATATCAGCCACTCTTCCCAGTTTGGTATCATCAGCAAACTTGCTGAAGATACACTCTGTCTCATCATCCAGGTCATTAATGATGAACAGGACTGGACCCAGTATTGATCCCTAAAGTACACTGCTAGTTAGTGGCCTCCAACTAAACTCTGGGCCACTGACCACCACCTTCTGCGCCCTGCCATTCAGCCATTTTTCAATCCACCTCCCTGTCTGCTCATCCAGCCCATACTTCATCACCTTCTCTATGAGGATTGTAAGGAAGAGTGTCAAAAGACTTACTGAAGTCCAGGTAGACAATACCCATTACTCTCCCCTTGTTTCCGATTCCCATGTTTCCTATTCCTTCTATGCCAAAGCATAGACTATCCCCCTCAGCTATAGCATAGCTGAACAGAGCCTACAGAAATAACATTGTAGTCATCACCGGGGGAGTCTACCTGACCTCAATCTTCCAACATCCTTGTCTATATTTTCCTTTTGTTATAGCCCAATATGGTACCTATGCATTTTTAGGATTCCTGGCACCTTGTTCCTGTTGACCCCATGGAAAAATGAGTGTCCAGGCTTTTTCAGACCTTTTCCAACACCTCCTCCTTCTATAGGGGCATTCATCAATTTAAACCAAAGGGTGTCACTATGAGGTATCAAAACCCACTCTTTTTATATATCTCTGTGTGTGTGTGTATATATATCCATGTGTGTATATATAAATTTCCCTCTGTGATTTGCATCAAGGAATTGCAAATTTCTTAACCAAATGCTAATTCTCTACTGTAGGGTAGCTGCAGGGAGTGTTTTAAGTAATAGATACTAATTGAGACGAGCTACTGTATCCAAACTACTTTAAAGGATGAAAAGGCAGTTTACTTCCCAAGCAATCCAAAAATCACTTGGGATTTCAAGTACCAAAAATCCAAACAGAAATGTACTAAAACCCTGTGGGCCTTCAGAGAAACCACATGCTTGCAGTTCCCCAGGCAATGACAAATAGAATTTGCCTTGGCTCTGAAGCAAAAAAAAAGGTCTCAGGAAAGATACCGACTACAAAGACACCATCTCTAGTACCAAGAGCTATAGCTTTCCAAAAGGTTCAGCTGGTAAATCATAGTAGGTGGTAGATTAGCAGGATGCCTTCAATATTTGAGTTCAAGTCCCTCATTTCTAGGCTGATGACGCTGTGCAGTCTTTTGTTTTGTCTCTGGTTTCCAAAGTCTACGCATTCCCACTTTAAACAAGTCTTGCAAAATTAGCAGCAAAGAAAAAATTGCGCTCCTTTATTTTTTCATTTCTATTCCTTTCTGCCTCTCAAATTACTGCTGCAAAGAAAGGTAAAAGTGCCTTCAAGAGACATATCCCTTCTCAGATATAGCTATTTGGATGTTTCATTTCTTACACCAATTACAGTGTGACATTTTATATATCACAATATAATAACTGTAGCTCTTTAAAGAGTACAATTAATTAAGCCTCAGAACAGCCCTGTGAAATAGCCAAGATTTATTATTTTACAGGTGAGTGAACTGAGGCATAGAAAAGTTCGGACCAAAAAGAAACATGAGAAATACTTAGTATGAGCTCACCACAATCATTCTTGCACAGATAGTGTAAGTTTCCACTCATTGCTTCTAACAGCTTATTAATTTGCAAGAAGAAATTCAAAATTGTTTGTTAATTGTGTATAATGGCACTAGTTTTGAATAGTCTGTTAAAACCCCCCCCCCCCCCCCCCCCTTTTTTTTTTTTTTCCTTCCTTTAGAGTTTAGCATACAGCTTAAAGGTCTGGATTTTCAGCTTCTGAAGACACAAGGCATAGAGGGCTTATGAAGGTCATTTAGAAAATAAAAATAATTAATTTCTGAAGCTGCTTATGGTAGAGGATGATCAATTAATAAGCCTTACCTGTCACCTGTACAGTTAATCCAATTATTCTCATGACATATTTTAGCAGCAATAAATCTATACTAAGGCTAGCCTGACTATGTCTTGCAAAACAAGCCACTGAAAGCATGAAAGGAATCATTATGTTATAAATAAGTAAAATAGTAAAGAAAACTCTGGTATGGCTAAATAGCACATATAAAGTAGAACAGAAAAGCATGGTATGGTGGATGCAGCTGCCAGTAAGCCATCTTTTTTAAAATTCTGACAGCATTTCAGGGCTAGAATGATTTTTCATTTCACAAGGAATTGAATTTTTATTACTTGGCAACAGCATGATGTAGGAAGCATAAAAACAAGGGTGAATTTTAATGAAGGTGGTAACCACAGATCCCATTTATTTTATGCAGTCTGCAGCTTCAAATCCTAAGTCCAGGACCACTATCCCCGAGTTCAAAGGCCACCAACTTAAGTAGCTCTCACTTGTCAAATTTCACATTTATCACATGGTGTTGCTCTGCCACAGCATCTTAGTCTCTCTCCAGATAAACCATTTGACAGTGCATTTTATAAGGGGCTCACCAAATTTTGACAGGCAGCCTATAGCTTGGAAACAAGTATTCACCTGTGCCAGCACCTCCAGTCTGTCTTAACCAGTCAACTCAGGCAGAGAATGAGAAAGCCTCAATAGCAGAAAAATATCAGAGTTGGGAGGAAGAAGTGCTCACCAAGGTGCGCAAAAATACATGAACTGACCAATAAAGGAGGAGATTAAGAAGTACTGTAAGAATTAAGTCATTACACTCAAAACAAAGAATAAGTATTTTCAACATGTCACATTAACAGTAAGTACAACAGATTACTATCAGAGAAATTATTTATCCCCTAAAGACCAGCAGCAGGAAACACTGGTCACTTATTTCAACCTCTCTCTGAAATAATCCTCTGGTACACAATACTTCAGGGCTTTCTATCTGAACCTGTTAGAAAGACTCGGCGTATATTAACTTCTTAAAAATAAGGGTAAGCAATAAAAACTCCCAAAATATTGCAGGACCAGTGCAAAGACACTCAACTACAGCTAGGAAAAAGTAGTTCTGAGAAATAATAAATTACCAAAATGATGACATTTCAGGGAAATACAACTAGTAGCCTGCCTTCAGCTGAGTAATTCAAGAAATTTCCTTAAGTGAGCCAATAAGTACCAATATTTTCATTACCAAGTGCCCAAAATTCTGCTACTGTTCAAATGCTATCATTGGGCTGTCAAGTGCCTCATTGGTCATCATCTCATGCCTGGGGTCCCTTAGAGGACTCGCACACAAGATGTGCCCCATCGTTTTGAAAGTTCAGGTAGCATATGTTACACTTAACCTCTCCAACAGCTTAAAAGCAGGAAACTGAATCAAGCCTTTAGTACATGAAATGACCATCAGCAAGTGTGTATGTGCTTGTGCGCAAACTAAAGGCCTGTGCACGTCCCAAAAAATGGTAAGCAAGTTGTTCCAGAAACAGGCTCTAAGGGCTGCCCAACAGGTAAGGTGGAATGGGCAGGCAATTTAGCTTCAAGGCTACCTCGGTACAGCAATGGAGAGGCACCTGCCAGACCCACAGCTCATGATCATCATCACTCCTACTGGCCTATGTGGTGGGTTGACCCAAGCTGGATGCCAGGTGCCCACCAAAGCCACTCTATCACTCCCCTCCTCAGCTGGAGAGGGAATAGAAAATATAACAAAAGGCTCGTGGGTTGAGATAAGGACAGAGAGAGATCACTCACAGCAAAACAGACTCAACTTGGGGAAATTAGTTTAATTTATTACAAATCATATCAGAGTGGAATAATAAGAAATACAATCCAAATCCTAAAACACCTTCCCCCACCCCTCCCTTCTTCCTGGGCTTAACTTCACTCCCAATTTTCTCTTCCTCCTCCTCCCAGCAGTGCAGGGGGACGGGGAATGGGGGTTGTAGTGAGTTCATCACACGTTGTCTCTGCTGCTCCTTCCTCCTCAGGGGCAGGACTCCTCACTCTTCCCGTGGTCCAGCGTGGGGTCCCTCCCACGGGAGACAGTCCTCCATGAACTTCTCCCAACATGAGTCCTTCCCACAGGCTGTAGTTCTTCACAAACTGCTCCAGTGTGGGTCCCCCATGGGGCCACAAGTCCTGCCAGCAAACCTGCTCCAGCGTGGGCTCTTCTCTCCATGGGGCCACAGGTCCTGCCAGGAGCTCGCTCCAGCATGGGCTTCCCATGGGGTCACAGCCTCCTTCAGGCATCCACCTGCTCCAGCGTGGGTTCTTCTCTGGGCTGCAGGTGGATATCTGCTCCACCGTGGACCTCCCTGGACTGCAGGGGGACAGCCTGCCTCACCATGGTCTTCCCCACGGGCTGCAGGGGAATCTCTGCTCCAGCACCTGGAGCACTTCCTCCCCCTCCTTCTGCACTGATCTGGGTGTCTGCAGGGCTGTTTCTCTCACATATTCTCACTCCTCTCTCTGGATGCAATTGCTGTTGAGCAGCAACTTTTCCCCCTTCTTAAATCTGTTCTCCCAGAGGCACTACCACCATCACTGATGGGCTCGGCCTTGGCCAGCAGCAGGTCCATCCTGGAGCTGGCTGGCATTGGCTCTGTTGGACATAGGGGAAGCTTCTAGCAGCTTCTCACAGAAGCCACCCCTGTAAGCCCCCCTGCTACCAAAACCTTGCCATGGAAAGCCAATACAGCCTCACAGGACTTAATAAAGATGTCTTAATAAGAAGGTACAGAGGATGTCTGTCTACAGGCTCTCCACAAGCTCATGAAATCCACTCTTCCCAGTTCTCTATTACACACACTCCTTAGTCTTAACAGAGCTCAGCCTCTGTGCTAGGGAGCTACAATGCTGAGCTTATGGAAACCAAAGTGCCCGGACAGCAGAGGGTCACCTGAAGAGACTGTTTAGAGAGTTTGCTTTCCTGGAAAAATCTTGTCATTTGTTCTGACACAAGATGATGTCTGGCACCACTGACTGCTCTCAGCACACCTAGCTTAATTTCTGTGACTGACTCACCCTTTTTAGGCCAATTCCCAAATTAAATTGTATGCAGTGATTATTTAAAATAAAGGAGCTTAAATGGAAA